GGCAGCTTGGAGCTGCTGGCATGGTAATTGCCTGTGGTCACTTGTGTTGCACCAACAGAGGATTTTGGGGCATCTTCAGTTTTGCTTTGAAGGCAGCAGTACTTGGAGATGTGACAAGATGATGTGATTTGAAGTGGTAACTCTGATGGGAAAAGCAATACTTGGTGTTCCACCTTCAAGAATTGCTCTCAGCACAAGACGTGCTGGGTTTGTGCTTGCTTCCAGAAGTTACCCATTGCAGAGAAATCAAATCTGTGCAAGGACAAATTCAGGAGTGTATAAGTAACCCAGACCAACTCTCTGAGCCTGGTTGCCTTCATCCAGATGTTGTACCAGTGACTCAAGGCTTGACCCTACAGCAATTAATTGACTTGATGATCTTAAAGGTCTTTTCCAACCAAAATATTTCTATGATTCTGTGACCTTGAAGCTTTCCTAGAGGATGACTCGTAGTAATGCCACAGCTCATTAAATATTTTTATTCTGGTGTAAGTCCCCTGTTAGTTTTTATTGTTAGCCATTTAGTTTCTGGATTACACTGTGCAAAACACATTTGCCAAGCCATTAGGCTGCCCTGGCCTGTGCCTGCCCAAGAGTGAGCTCTCCTGGGTGCCTCTCCAGAAGGAATTTGGTCGGTGCAGCACTGTTCCAAGTTCTTGCCATCATTAGCAAGTCGTTAGTAAATTAAGTCTGAGTGATTCCCAGCAAGACTCGACAGAAGGAGCAAGTATCAGCAGTATTGTTTCAGTTGTTTGTGTTGGCTTCATGCAGAGGAACTACTTGAGCCATGTGCTTTGTGCTTAAGCACACAGCTATGCTTTGTGTTTAAATTCCTTAGCCCCGGACCACTTAACAGGAAATATTTTTACTTTTGGAAATTGAAGGAAGTGGGTGGGTCTACTCAGAGGTTCTGTCGCTGATGTGTAATATAATGCAGATTTTGAAGAATGTTGTCTGAAGTACACCTGAAATTCCCACTGATATGCTGTGTGTGCTCTTAAAGCTAGTGAAAGCCATTGATTAAATGTTTGCTTGATTGATACCAGACCCAAGGGCTGGGAAATCTTCTCTATTTAAATGAGTTATTACTGTTCTTTTGTGATGTGGAAGAAAATAGGCGGCTACTCAGATACTTGAACTGGATGTGTGCCCTGGAATTAGCAGTCGGATTTCGAGATCAGTAAAGCTATGAGAGTGCTCTTCCCCTGCTTCAGATAATGTCCAGGGTATTCCAAGGTGTGAGGGATGAGTGCAGAGTCATCAGGGCGCTCCATCCAACACCTTTCTAGCTCAGCCTTGTAAGCCTAAGCTGGGTTGCACATGGGTGCAGTCAAGTTGGTTTTTTTCTTTTGCCTTTCTCTGTGCTTCATCTGAAGGAAAGAGATCCTGCTCAGTGTCAGCATGGCAAGAGCAGATGGAGCTTGAGTGGCTGGCAGAGAGACTTGGTGCAGGAGTGCCTGATGCTGGGGCCAGCCCATGGGGACAGTGGAGATGCTGCTGAGCTGGCACTGAGGGCTCTTCTGGAACTGAAACAGTTTTGGGGCTCTTCTTCTGAGGCAGTGTTTTACTCTTGTAACCAAATTCTATGCTGTGATAAATTTAGCTTTTCGGACATCTTGTCTTAGCTCATTTCTGAAGTTCTGTGGACGATAATTATAATTCTTACATTACTTCTTGTTTGTCAATACCAAAATGCCCAAAAAACAATGTTCTACTCAATTGAGTAACGTGCAGCAAAACTTGGGTTGAGGTTGCTGGAGATAGAGGGTTTGGTTTCAAGTTGGTTTATTTTTCCTTTCGTGTCCTCATTCAGTCACATTCTTAGGAAGTGTATCCAAATCAATGATTTGTCATCTTGCACTTTGCGTCTCATGAATTTGGACGAACAACAAGAACTATTCTTCACCCAAAATGCTAGAAGGGACAGAGAACCAAAATTAGATCTTAAGTCAAAGCTTTTATTCACGGTTTCAAGTTCAGGGTAGTGGAATTTCATTGTAGGGGTTTTTTTTTGCAGCTCTTTGCTCATGAGATATTTTGTCAAAAAAGGAGGAGTGCTTTATGGCTATCTACAGAGTGACTCTGAGACACCTTGGAACGTTTGCCCAAGAAGGCACATTTGGGTTGTCTTTGATGTAGAGTCTGCAGAACAGGATGCTCTAGGCCAAAGATAGATTCACAACAAAACAGCATAGAGTTCATTAGGGTAATCCCCACCAGATTTCCATGATGGAACTCATAAGGCAGCTCAAGAAAGCAGCCAGTGACAAAACAGAGAGTCAAACTCAAGTTTCTTCTGTGTAGCCAGTCAGGCCTCACACTCAGCCAGAGCAGGAGCAGTTCAGAGTGGTACAGACAGCTGAGGACAGCATAGGCCATTAAAAAAATAAATTAATAATTGAATAGCGAAATAAACTATTTTAATGTAAAATAGCACAACAAAATCACAGGGAGAGTATGTTCTTGTGAAGTAAGTCTGTATTTCACCAACAAAAATCTTGTCAATTAGGCAATGTGGGTTTCAGAACTTGATATGTAGTGGATTCAACTTAATGTGTTGGTATATATTATAAATAATGCAGTATTTGATGATACAGGGTTGAGATATGGAACTTTGGACTTTGCTGATCTCTCCTGGGGGTGTGGAGGATGGACAGGTGATGGGTGCAGAGAGGAGACTTTGCTCCGTCCTGGGATGGAGAACAGCAGAGGTACCTGATGCCTGTGGAGGAAAAGGAACGTGCAGATTCTGTCAGGCAGGTAGGACTTGGTTTTAAAATAACATATGCAAAGACAAGTGTTACAAAAAACACTTGTTTACTGACAGCTTCATCTACTTGGAAGATGAAAATTTAGTGAAAATAGACTTACCTGGATAGTGAAGCTCTTAGCACTGATGATAGGAAAATTGATCATGCAGTTTGAGTGCTGTACTTATTACAGCACAGTGTTGTCTGATACAGTGCAACAAAGCAGATTAGACTTTCTAGAAATGCTATCTTAATGTGCTTCCCTGTGAGCTGAGACTTCAGAAAATAATGCCAGTTGGGCAGTTTTTATTTATTTGAGTACAGACTTCTTCAAGGATCTGGATAGAAAGAAAAAGTAAGTTCTGGAAGGTGTAGGGACTGTGTCCAGATGCATTTGGAACATGTGTCAGCTCTTTGTCAGCCATTCCTGGAAAACTTCTTGCAACTCTAGATTGAGGCAGAATTAATGGCTTGAAGCACCAGGCAAGCTGAGGATGGGGTAGAGCATTTTCAAGTGCTTCGTGTTCTGCTGCAGGTCCTGGGCTGTGCTGGGAAGCTGAGGACAGGACTGCAGAGCCCTGTGGGTTTATCCAGGGCACCCACTGCCAGGGAATATGTGTTAGTTTCATAGGGCATTTATTCAGTTATTTCTTACTCTGTACTTAAAAACTTTTAACCTTACTGCTAAAGAAAACTACCATTGTGTGTTAGTAGGACTGGAACGAAAGCTGAATAGTGAATTAGCCTTGAGCGAACTGTCAATCTGACTTTGATAGCCCATCACTTAAAAGGTCCTTTTATGTTTATGAAAAAGCATGACATCAAAGCCAGGGGAAAAAAAAAATACCAAGACTTAGAGCTTAACTTAAACTTGCATAACTTCCAAGAAGAGGCTTTGTGTGAACTGTTTGTTTGTCCACTTGCATGGCTAATTAGCGTAGGTTACTAAAAGTCTGAGCAGTGGCCATGAAGTTTCTTCTGCTCCTCTGGGGTTTGTTGTGCTTCCATATGTGTATCCCTCAAACAGGAGTAGCATAGACAAAGGATATTGCAGTTGATTCTCCTGCAACCTCTAGGTAGCATGCTGGAAATGCTTGAGTATAACCACTATCAGGTGAGTTGTTATTGGAGACTTATTTTAAAACCTGTTGCTAAGAAGGTGTGCAGTGTACAGGAAACGCTTTTCCACTGGTGTCTTGGGTGCTTTGTTTCCTTTTTTTTTCATACCAATAAGTGGGTGCCATGCATGGTCGCTTGTAACAGCAAAAGTCACTTTAATGGAACTGTTTTAAAGCAAAATAACTTCTCAGTGTATTGCTGTATTTTGAGTTGGTTTCTAGCTTCTGATAACAACAGAAATATTTTCATTAATGATCAATGAAAGGTAGCAAAGAATTCCAGAATATGGTGGAAAAATTTTAAGGAAAAAAAAGGCCTTTCTTCTCTTGCTTATTTAGAGTAACAGTTGTTTGGTATGAGGATTTTCATATTTTGTATGTAAAAAATTCCTAAGTACTGAGAAGCTTATCTTAAATACAAAAATAGCTGTTGCTGACGACAGTGATTGATCTGAACTGAAACACTTCTTTTCTTGCATCTTATTTGCATGATGTGTTTATAAACAGGCTGTCTTATTTGTATATGATTTAGGCTGTATATCTGAGATATAAATAATCTGTAGGCAGAAAAAGGTGTCTTTGTTTCTTCTTTTATTTTAACTAAGGTATTACTTTAAAAAAACCCCAACATTCAAAAACTAAACTACCAAAAACAGACCTTTTATCTCTCTGTTATTTGACACTGGATTAAGGATAGCAATCCATACTTCTTGATTTTAATTGTTAGATATTAACAAGTAAAATGAGTCCTGCAGTACAAGTAATTTCTCCATATTTTAGTGAAAACTAAATGTCACATAGCTGAAGGTCTGAAGTCAGAACTGAGTGTTCTGGAGTGTCTGTATCAACTGAAAACCCAAGCGTTGGTCTTAGGTGAGAAATCTCATGTTGTAGAAAAATAACTGGAACTTCTTGGTGTACTGGTAGTAAGTTGTTGAAAGACCAAATCATAAATTGATTTCTTGCCACCAAATGCGAGTTAGTGAAGCACTGTGGACATCCTTGGAGCTGTTCACGTTTGTGTTTAGTCAGATAGCTGGTCCTTATGTCACAAATACATAGCTGAGATCAATAAGCACCTGCAGTGGTGTTGTAAAACAATAAAATCCTTTTTTAAAATTGTGTCGTACAGGTGCAGACTCACCTTGAGAATCCAACCAAGTACCACATCCAGCAGGCCCAGCGGCAGCAGGTAAAGCAGTACCTCTCTACCACTCTAGCAAATAAACATGCCAACCAAGCCCTGAGCTTGCCATGTCCAAACCAGCCTGGGGATCATGTCATGCCACCTGGGACGGGGAGCAGCGCACCCAACAGCCCCATGGCTATGCTCACACTCAACTCCAACTGTGAGAAAGAGGTAAGAGCTCTCCTCTTCGTGTTTTCAGTGAAACAGGGCTCTAATCTGCTTTAATTGTTTTAAACCATATCTGCTCACTGTTAAGATGTTCTGTTTATCTTTTCTGTTCGTTGTGAAAACGTAACTGCTGCCTCTGTGTCTGCCTGATTAATAGATATTTTTGGCAAAAAACCCGTGTCCCTCCAGCTTCCTCTTGTTTGAACTATTTTAGCTAGTGTATACTTATTAAAACTACTTATCTTGTTCCCATCCTATTGCTTGATGCACACAGTGAATAATTGACCTTTGGAGAATACAAAGCAGCTTTGTAAGCTCCAGCTTTCTGGAATAATGTTATTTATGGCTTGTTCATCCAGAAGGTGCAAAGAGCATAGCAAAAATAACTGCAAAAACACAAAGCTATTTTGAGATATTTAGGTATTTTTATGGTAAAATTTAAGCAAGTCTCCTGCATAGCTGGAAGGCCAGATTATCCCAGCTAACGTGCCCTAAAATGTTACTGATTGTTGTTCCAGTGCTGCAAATATAAGACTTCAGTAGCCTATATCTAGAAGTCCTTTCAACCTTGTCTTAATCTTCAATGGCAAAAATTTACTTAGATGTTAAATGTGTGCTCAGGCTCCAAAGGAAAATGGCTGGGAAGATCCTTACAAGAATCATGTGGGTATTTTTGTAGCAGGAAAAGTAGGATGCAGCTGTAGAGTTCCTCTTGTCCCCTCATCCCCCACTTCAACCTTTTGTGCCAGATTTTTAGTACAGATGCATTCCATGAGCAAGATGTTACACAGCTCAGAGAAACAGTTATTACAGGGTATATTTTGCACATGCAAGGGAAATACTTGTGCTCCATAGTTTCAAAAGAAATGAAAATCAGATATTTCCATCCTATTGTCCCAGCTGTACCCAAGCATTTTTTTCTTGAGGATATTTACAGCTTCACTTTGCTGTGTCATCGGGAACATGTGTGCATGACACTATTTCATTCGTGCTCTTTTTGGGACTGAGACTGTGCCATGAACTCAGATCCATGCTTTGCTTTTTCTTCTTCTTTTTTTTTTTTCNTTTTTTTTTTTTTTTTTTTTTTTTTTTTTTTTTTTTTTTTTTTTTTTTTTTCCTTTTTATTTCTGCAGGGATTTTATAAATTTGAAGAGCAAAGCAGGGTTGAGAGTGAGTGCCCGGCTCTGAATACACACTCACGAGCATCATGCATGCAGGTACTGGATGACACAGGAGGTGGAGCACAGGTCCCCTTTCTAATGAGCATGTTTCTTTCATGATACGTTGAAAAATAAACTTATCCCACACTGTCTTTAAGAAGTTAAATATAAGATGCATTTAAGGTACAATACAGCAATGTTATTTATTAGCACCAGTGTCAAAAGTGCAGGAAGATACCTGGCAAAGGCTCATGCTGTTCTAACACTGTAATGCCATGGCAGAAGAACACATCAATCATGCTTTAAGGTCTTGCATCAGGAAATCTTTTCTAACTGGGTTTTCCAAGACTGCATGGACTGTGGTTGTGCGCTGATAATCTTCAAGTCCACATTTCTATGCAGATTGCACTTGTGTTTTAAAAAATTATATGAGAAGGCTTTAATCCATCTGTGGTAATTCATCCTCAGTAATCAGTCTTTTATATTTTCATTCTTTTTCTTAAAACTAAGGAGTTTTTATTTCTTGCCAGAATCAGTAACAAGACTTCGGGTATGGGCTGTAACTGTTAGTTCCTTTCTTGCCCTCACTTCCAGTCAATGTAATTTGTTGTGATCACACTTTCTGGAGCTGATAAAAAAATCCCATGTACTGCTACTTTTACCATCACTGTTATGCATTGATTTTGTAGATCTCTGTCATTTAAGCTCCTTTTTTATAATGAGCAAAAAGGAAATAGTCAGTCCTGTCCTGAAACAGTCAATCCTACAGGACGTTTTGGAGCACCTGTGTGGGTGCTGAGAAGGAAGGGCTGTTTGCTCCTGCCCTGTGCAGGAGCTGATGGAGGCACCTTCCAGCCCAGCCCCTGAAAGGAGGTGTTCTGTACCACCTCAGATCAGCTCTGAGCTGCCCCTGGGTGATGCTTTGATAGCAGGAGTCAGAGCTGAGGGATTGCACAGCTGCACAGGCACCCCTGCTGTGTGTCCCAGTGGTTCTGATAACTGTTCTGGTTCTCTCTGTCCACCTTTCTGCTGCAGATGGATGATGTGATCGATGACATCATTAGTTTGGAGTCCAGTTACAATGAAGAAATCCTCGGCTTGGTGGACCCAGCCCTGCAAATGGCAAACACGGTACAGCAGCCCTTTCCTTCTGGTTTCCCTGTTAAGTCTAACTGGTTTTCCTTGAGAGGTAGCAAAACGGCAGCAGGACTTTCTTCCTTGCAATTAAGTAGTTATTGAATTGTTCCACAGAGAGTAATTAGTTTTCCTTTGAACAGCTTGGGGTGATACAGTTGCAATGAAAACCATGAATTTAAAAATACAAGCTGGAGTCAGGTCTAGAGAATACAAAGGACAATTTTGCTTTTCTTATTTCCAAGTTAGTGGTGAGAGGATTGTAACAGAGGAGTAAGCTGTGCTACCAGGAGTAGCTCATTCCCACTGATATTGAAGATTGTCATGGATTTCATACTTGGCTTCAGAAAAGAAGGAACCTCTGGCATCCCAGGTTCCTGAATGTTGTCATATTCAAGTAAGAAACTGTATGCCATGTGTTATCATCCCTATCCAGAGACACTTTCTGTTATCTCTAACATCACAGCTTTATCTCTGCCTGATTTCAAGTGGGGAGAAGCCCCCAGCTAGACGGCAGCAAAGATGTTACAGAATTTAGCAGGAGGGAAAAAAAAATTTAAAAAGCAATCTTCCAAACAAACAAGAGAAAAGGAATGAAGAAGGTTGAAAACTGAACAAGGCAGGGGACGTGGGAAGCCTGTGATAAAAGCCAAGAACACAGAGGTGCAGAAAGCGCTGAGGGAAGGCGCAGGTGTCCTCCAAGTGGCTCTTTTGGGTTGGTTCACATTGCTTTGAGAATTAATATAATCATACTTCTGGCATAATCTGATTTTGATCTTCTGTGGAGGGTAGCTCCAGTGAATTTTTTGCCTTAGGCTTAAGTGCTGTTAGATCTGGCTGAGTAGATGTCTGCCAGCGCTGGCGTCTGTTTCTGTTTCATCTGGTGCCAGAATTTACAGCTTACCACAGAGCATTGATTTTGTGGCATAGGTTTACGTTTGCTGACAGTAGCTGTCTGATGTCATGTTAACCTGGTCCTGTGCTCCCACAGATTCCCACAGCCCTCAGGGATGTGGTGGATGACGCAGGAAGCAGCCCAGCAGCTTCTCTTCTAAATAGTGCCCTTTGAGTACACAGGGAAATAGCTGCACGGCCCTGCTAGAGAGAATACATTTTCCTTTAATCCAAGATGACTTGCAGAGTACAGCTGTCCTGGAATTTGAGAGAAAACCTCAAGAAGTTGTCAAAAGATAGCTTTCAAAAAGTTAATCTGTTTTTCAGTTTTGTTTTTTTTTTTTTTATTGAGAAATGGAGGTCTTCTGGAGTCCTTTCTCTGAAGTTTCATTGGATTGGCACCCATTAATTCAGAAGGGGCTTGGATATTTTAATACTATTCTTCTTTTCTTGTTTCACAGGGACCCCAGAGTGGCTCTTTGCTTCCAGACAGGCATAGAAGGATACTCTGCACTGTTTTGGTGCAAGGAGCCCGTGTAGTCAATGTTTAGGGTAGTTTGCATCCCTCCTGTGCTTTGCTGTGCTTGCTGCATGGCAAGAAGGCTTGTAAAGAAGCCTAATTCCATTTACTGTGGAAGTTCAGAATTTTCCCACTCTATATGGTGAAGTCTTTAAGGATATGAAACGGGAAATTAAAACTTCTTTACTGATAAGTTTAAATAACTGGAGGAAAAAAGCCTATTTCAGTCTCTGAAGCAGCCCAGTACCAATCCTGAAGAGATGGAAATTGAACCGTGCTTCTCAACAGTTGGTTTAAGGAAAAAAAAGAGCCAGACACTTTTCTTTGGGGGCAGGACTTAGCTCTTAAAGCATGCAACACTTTATTAAGAAGGAATTAATGCCTACAGACTGAGCTAAGTTGAGGTAGGAGAAATCAAGAGAGGAAATGGTCTCTAAAGAGACACAACCTATAAATAGCTGTGCTGAGTCTATGACAAAGGCAGTTGTTGTTCCATAGCCAACAAAGAACAAAAGGACCAGTTTGTTAAGTTGGTAACAGTACTTAATTGATAAGCAAAACCAGAGATTTCGGTGCAGAGCAAGCTAAGGGAGTTTCCAAGTACCTTGAATTGCAAATGGCCCACTGCAGTCAACTGCTTGTGTGAGAGTGTTTGTCAACTTTGGTATTTGGTGGAATAATATCTGTGGCGGAAAGTATCACAAAATGGTCACTATTTTATGGAGAAGGTTTTCTGCCTAGATGTCACCTGGTAATTGAATTAATGAGTACTGTGTAAAGTGCTCCTGTGGAGGTGGCAATTAATTCATCCAGCTAATCAACTCCAGCCAGAGCCTGGCATGGAAAAGTCTGTGAATAGGCACAGCTCCACTTCTAAATGTGGCTTTCTTCTGGAATTTAAACTCCACAGCAGAGGAGTTTTGTTGCAGGGGCTGCTGCTGAGCGTGTGCTTGTAGGTCAGGGAACATCACAATACATTGTGGGCTGCACGAGCTGGGGTGCAGAACCCATTCCAGTGTGTACTGGTACCTTAGAAACAGCCTTGTTTATCACACAGCTGATGGCTCAGTGGTTTTAGACAGAATGTGGGTGCTTGTTTTGTTGGAGTAGTGGAGGAGAAATGAAAGCCTCAGACTCCCATGAATGTGCACTATGATGAATCTGCAGTCATAATTACCATATTTCAAATTTCTGTTATATAAAAGCCATTATTAGAAAAAAAAAGAAGCAGATGCAAAGTGATAGGAAGATTGAAATTTGTTTTACTTGGTGTGTTTGTGCGATTTGTGATGCCAAGACCCTGAAATATGAAATCTCACAAGTGAAAGCATTTTCAACCATGCTGTTTTAATGAAGATGACATGCTAAACCTGGCACATAAGCCACTCTTCCTTCATTTACTTTTTGGAAGAGTAAAGGTGGATGATCTGGCTGATGCTGTATTTAAATTCCTTCTTAGCCAGAAATAGCTAAGAAAGCTGTAAGGAAAACCATATTTAGGTTGGAAACATGCTAGAATTTGGAGAAGACAGGGAAGGAGCTTCCTTAGCTCCAGAAAATTCCATGTCTTTCTCAAAATTTGAGACTCCATCTTCCCTATGAAATGGCTGTGGAAGTTTTGACATTTTCCCATCTTGTACTTGAGGATGGTGGTGAAAGGCTCGACTGTCTTAGAGCTGAAATGTTTGCCAACAATGTGTATTTTTTTCCAGTTTCTTCAAATAAGAAGGATTTGAAATAAATGCTCAGGTGTCGCTGTAATGAGCACATAATAAACCCCTTTTGGGTTTTTTTTTGCCCCATTAAAATCTAGTGGCTGCTTTTGTGTGCTCACCACACTGCTGTCTTGTGCATCTCAAACCAATGCCCTCTCCCCTTTCTCAGTTCCCTAAACCCTGCACTAATGATTATTGGGTTTACCTTAGTCAACTGATTTTATTCCTCTGAGAGCTGTTATAAAATTGTGAACTGAGGCTGTGCCTCGATTTTAACTTACCTTTAGCTGCAGGTATTTTATGTGAGATGGCCCAGAGTGTTGCATGCACTTTGTTTTCATTTGAAAGGAATTAGTACAAGTTAGTCCCAAAGATGTGATCTGCAGCCATCCTGGAGAAGAGGCTTCTCATACTGAGCATGGACCAGGGAAATGTTACAACTGAAGCTTTGACCTGTGGAGTTTGGATGCTGGGGAGAGTGGTCAAAGAAAGAAGCTGATCAGTCTCTGTGCTTATGGATTTAAGTGGGGACTGTTGGCATTTCCCACCCTTTAATATGAATTTCCTTGATAAGCGTTCCTGTGGACAGCCTTTAGCAGCCAGGCACATGTGCACGTTCAGCAGTTGCTGCCTGTCCTCTGTCCCCTTTTGTCATTGCTCATACTGGTTCTGTTCATTGACATGGAAATCTGGCTCAGTATTTGACACCTTTGGGGAAGAAAAATCAATCACAAAGTGTTGTAACAATCAGGGTCCATGTTGCAGTAAGGAAAGCAGCTCAGTGTTCTCCACGTTTCATTACAACCTGGCTGCTTTACCTGGCCTTTGAGATGCCAGTTTTGAGTTTTCTGACAAAAAAATCTTTTTTAAAATTCCCTGAAGTTCCTAATTAGATTTCACATGTCTGGTTACGAACTTCAAGTCCTTGGGCTACAAACAAGGTCTTTGTGCTCTCCCCATGCTTAGGAGCATGAATAGGATAAGCACATCCAAGTCAGAAGGGTGTGTGATTCTCTCTCTGTGTCGGTGTCAGGGATGTGTTTGGGGGACCCAAAGACACAAGGGTCAGCCTTGTGGAGCAGTGAGATTGAGTGGTCACCCTCACACTAGTGTGGGCAAGTCACAACCAGCACAGCTGTGATCTGAGCAGCATTATTAGATCTTCCTTTTTTAAATTTTTTTCTTTTTTTTTTTTCTTAATAAGGCTGACTCACTGTGAGAATTCAGTTACATTTATTCCTCTGTCTCTTAAAGTTTGAGTCAGGGGACTTTGGTTTTGTTGTTGGCCATTATCTGTTCTCAACAGCTATCAGCATAGCTTCTAGCTGGTGGTACTTTACATATCAACTCCTGTTTCATCTGCTTCCATATGGCAGAGAAATTTTCTTAGGTCCCAGTCTGGCAAGGCCCATCAGTAGGAGTTTAATAGTCCTGGCTGTGACTCACTGCATTGTATTCACCAGCATTATTTGCATGGGTGTAAAGTTAATATCTACTCTAATCTCTGCAGGATCAGTGTCTTGGAGGGATTGGTTTTCTTTGCAGCAGTGATGATAAGAAGTGTTGCCACTCAGATAAGATACCAGAGTGTTTTATACCTGTCTTTTCAAAACCAAATAAGAGATGGGTAAAATAATCCACTCAGGATAATTGCAAGCTTCTTTAAATATGTTTCAATATAAAGGGATAGCTTTGATACATATTGCTGAAATGCTGTCCTATTTCTGTATAAATCTACTTGTTTAAATACCTAAATAATCACATCAGAGTGAACAAGTAATTGAGGAAACTTACTGTAAAAATAATCTCCCTCCTACTGGTGCGCATTTTTGTTATGTAAGGCGAAAAACAAAGTAAACTGAAATGTTTTCTGTGTAGGTAGCTTTCAAATCACATGAAAAATGTGATTAATTAATACAGTGTTCTTCCTCCGGCATGTGACAACTTGCAAAGTACTTCCACTCACGTATCCCTGGAAAAAGGGGGGGTTTCTCTTGGGAGAGTTCTGTAGGCTCTTTCAGATATGAGAGAAGTTTAAGAGGTAGAGATGTAATAGTTTTAGTGAAAAATAAGAAGCAACAGTGCAGAAATGTCATCAGCATTTTACCTCTTCTATTACCCCTTCATATGTTAAGTCTGCATGCTTTTGAGGCGAGAGAGCAGAATTTTCCCAGTGTAAATGTTTTATCCCTCGTGGCCATGAATATCTGTGGATTTTGCTGACCTTCTTGCAGACTGTTTGCACATGGAAAAGAGCACAGATTACTTAGCACATCCTGACTCTGTTCTTCTGTACAAAGGCATTCATAAAGGCAAACCAAATGATCCTTCTCCTTGTTTATCTTTTCCAGTTGCCTGTGTCTGGCAATTTGATTGACCTTTATGGCAACCAAAGCATGCCTCCTCCAGGACTAAACATCAGCAACTCATGTCCAGCTAATCTTCCTAATATAAAAAGGGAGCTCACAGGTAAATACATCTGAAATACCACCTTGGAGTAATGGTATCATTGTTTTGAATTCAGGTGATACTGGACATAATTTCTGTTAAGAGAAAGAATGTATGTGTGAACAGTTTGTTTCAGCCTGTGTTCATGGGTGGGTGCAAATGTTTTCACTGTCACAAGTTCATAAAATTCTTAATTGTTACAGTCACACCTGTTGTGTGTGTTCCAGGAAGGTTCCATGCATCTTTTCCAGAGCTGTTTTCTAGTTTGGGCTTACTATTTGCTCTATCAACACCAAACTTTAACAACTTCATATCTGGAGTTTCTGTGGCATTCATGTCAAGGAATGATACACTGGGGCTTTACTTCAGTAGGGTAGGGCAGTAATGAACAAATAACCTCTTAAAATGTGAAGCTTGGACGTGTAGATCCTTTAAAATGTAAAATTAGGCACTTGGGGGATTGGAATTTGATGATCTTTAAGGTCCCTTCCTACCCAAGCCATTCTATGATTCAATGAGTATGCATCACTAAATTAAGATGGAAATGAAGTGTTCCTTAATTTTTTTTAATGCCAGTTCCTGCAGCAATGCTCTGAGCAAGCTGTGGGAGGCAGGGGCAGGAGAGTGAAATACTAAAACCCTCTTTTTCTCAAGC